GAAAGCGAGAAATCACCCCCCAGGGGGGATGGTCACGCCGCAATCCCTTCTCCTCCATTCTCCTCTTGGGATCTTGGGCACGCACGAGTTTCAAGCCACCGGGTCCGGGACACGAACCGCTGTCGACTACGTGGGTGTCCAGCGACATAGCCATTACGCTAACTGCTGGTTCCCTGAAGTTGGCAGTGGCAGTATTGAAATATTGTACTATGAATTTATGGTGCTTATCACCCTGTACAATAATTATTCATATACTTCTTTGTCTCCTCTGTGGGACTTTGAGCCCCTCTAAGCCAGACAACGTTTAATTATCTTCCTATCTCTATTGCTCAGCAGTTTTTCTGCTCATCCCATAAAATGTTCCTGGTAAAGGTGAGATGAATGAGTGATTGAAGAACTTAAAGAGATGCTTTCCAATATTAATTCATTCATTACAATATGCTGAGTACTTACTATATACGTCACATTATGAGAGTCACCCAGGATAAGAACCTCTCCTGCCTACAGGGGATTCATAGTTTAGAAGAGTGCTAGTAAGTGAATAATTGTAAAACCACAAGTAAATACATGGTATATAGGAGCACAGAAAAGACATACTTTTTTTTTTTTTTAAAAAGAGATTTTTGCGATAGGGCATGTGCACTCGCTAGAGAGACAGAGAGATACAGAGACACAGAAAGCAAGAAATTACTCCTCAGCGGCGATGGCCACACTGCAATTCTTTTTCCTCTTTTCTCCTCTTGAAATCTTGGGCACGCATACACATACACCCAGTAAGAGTTTCAAGTTGCCAAGTCTGAGACTTGAACTGCAGTCCACTACGTGGGAGTCCAATGACATAACCATTGTGCCATCTACTGGTCCCAAGAAAAGATATATTTAACTCATCCTGAAAGAGGCGATGGCATAATCTGAATTTTCATTATAAATAACTTTATTATAATCATTGTTATCAAATATTAAGCTAATTATTTTTTGCCAATTAATATATTATTATAAATATGAGAGTTTAGTATATACATGACAAATAAAGAAAACTTATGCAAGTAAGTAAATTTCTCTAAAATCTATAGCCTTACCAACTGTATAAGATTGTAGCCCTCTAAATTTAATGAAACATGATTGTAATCATATTGTGTAAAATAGTTTGGAAATTCTAGACTGGTAACATTGAAGATAGACTTCTTAAGAATTTTGCTTCATGATGACCTCAAGAGAGACAGTCTTGCATTGAGAGATACAGGAAGAGAGAAAAACTTTCATGTACCACACCATTTGTTTTTTAACTTTTTCATTGAAAAATTTTAAATCTTTATTATTATTTTATGACCAGCCTTGAAGGAGATTATCTCCTCTTGGTTCTACTTTCTTTGGGAACTTGATGAAATTAAGTTGAGATTTGAAACTAGTTTTTTTTTTTTCACCCCCCAGGGGGGATGGTCACGCCGCAATCCCTTCTCCTCCATTCTCCTCTTGGGATCTTGGGCACGCACGAGTTTCAAGCCACCGGGTCCGGGACACGAACCGCTGTCGACTACGTGGGTGTCCAGCGACATAGCCATTACGCTAACTGCTGGTTCCCTGAAACTAGTTTTTGAGTTTTCTTTTTTATCAGTTATTTGAGAACACCCTGCAGGCAAGAGAGAATACACTTCAATCATCTTGCATCCTCTATGGAGCTTACTTTTAATGTTGGAGAAATCTTAGTTGGTTCTTAATGTTTCTATGAAGGACATCACCAACTCAAGCTGACTCCCAACTCCTTGTGTATATAAACCATACTTCTCCTTTTATTCCTGCCCTCAACCTGGTATGATAGTAAATAGACTTGGACAGGTTTTGGCATGTAAATTTTCATTCTTATTAAAAAGTTACTGAGTCTGTTTTGAAGTTTCTGGTGACAGCTAATGTCTTAATCCTTTAGGGAACAGGTCCAGGTTTGCCTCTTTTGGAGTTGCTTAATCATTATTTTTTGGTATATTAAAGTGGTGGTGTGGAATGGGGTAGAGAGAGACAGGAAGTATTTTCCTGAAAAATAAGCTCCTTACCAAGGCTGCCTGACAAATTGACTTTGATACAATCCTGGTAGGCTAATAAGCAGTCTATCCAGAGAGAAAGAATGGAAAACATGAGGGTTTTTTTTTTTTTTTGGCCACAATAGGAAAAACAAAAGCATTTCAAGATGTTTGACTCAGGGAGAACTACTAAAATTTAAGTACTTCACATGGGACCTGGAAACAGAGTCAGTAAACTCCTCTGTTTTATAGAAATGGATGTTTTCTTAAAGATAATAAAATTATCTCAAACTTACTTTAACAGTAATGAGAATAGGTATGAAGGGCTTGGAGGGTGGAGAAAGAAGAAAAAAAACACTAAGATTTATTTATTTTGCTGTTTGAGTGTTGACAACATCCCAACACATGACCCCACATTAATAAAATGTATTCAAATGTAAACCCTTTTTGACTCTTGGATAAATAGCATATTATTAGGTCTTCGGGAAAGTCATGATGCATTTTTACATAGAAAAACATGCCATGACTTTCCTGACGAACTAACAGATCAGCAAAAAACAAAAGTTTGGCAGTCAGACAGAGAAGCCTGGATTCTGTGGATCCAGTTGTATGTGACTTTGGTCAAATTACTTAACCTCTCCAAGCTTTAGTAAAAATAGGGATAGTAATACCTGCATCTCACAGGACAATGTAAAATACTAAAAGAAATTATGAACCATTCTTGCGTTCCAGAGATAAATTCCACTTCATGATAATGTATAATACCTTGTATATATTGCTTAATTCAGTTTGCTAGAATTTTGTTGGTGACTTTTGTATCTAAGTTTATCAAGGACATTGGCCTATAATTTTCATGTTTGATGGATGTGACATTTGCAGAACTCAACACAAAAGCTGCCAAATAGCAGTTAGGCTTTTTCTTGTTTACATGATGTTAAAGCAAACAAGGCACTAAATAAACAATTCTGAATTTATTATTCTCATTAAAAATTGAGTGATCTCACCTAAAGGTTTGATTTCTGGCTCTTGGAAATGAAAAGGTGTGATAATATTATTTAATAACAATGATATCCTGGACCTGATTATCAGTTATTCTCTCAGAGGAGGATGCATTTAGGTTGCTTTTATGTATCCTGAAGGCATTTGGATTTTTGTATTCTTTGGGTATTTTCGCTTACTCATAAATCTTGGAAATAATGGTTTTTAAACAGCTTATATACTAGGAACAAGCTGTATACATATATACATGTTCCAGGGATGGAGCTATAAATTTCAAAATCATTGAACATAGTAAATCTTAGCAGCCTGGAATTTCGAGATACTTATCAGAGACATAGGATGTCATAGGGTTTTTTTTTTTTTTTAAGGAAAGGTTCCTTCACAATACATCTTTTTACATCAACTTAACTTCCAATTTACCTTCTATTTAACGTGACAAATCACTGTGTCAAAGTTAAAATTCACTTTCTCCTGACATCAATGTTTTATTCTTTCCTCAAGAAGAGACTCAATACATCAGTAATGTTTTGAATATCCACCTCACACAAGGCTCTATGTTAGTGCCATGGGATTAGATCTTATAGAATACATAAAGGAGGATTCACATGAGCATGAAGGATGTTCTAGGCATGCTACTTTGGAATGTGAATAAAGTCAATTTGAAGAAATATTTAGGGGCTGTAAAGAACTGGCTATTAACTTTGACTAGAAACTGAGGGAAAAACAGTTAAATTTTAGGTTTTCTTTCAATTTGTTAATTTAACACGAATGAACTTAATTATGAAGATTTTCATCTCTTTTTCAGTCCATTAACTAATGAATCCTGTCTGTTCCCTACCAGATATCCTGAGTTCTTTATTTTGATATTGATGACTACATTTATTTGATCAGAAAAAATTCTAATTCTTTGCTTACGCTAGATAATCAGAAGAGTAAGATAAAAAATTCATCAATTTATGTGTAGAAAATATTAAAATAGAATACAGATTTTGCCTTTTGCATCAATTATCAACTAAGAAAGATGTAATTTCACATAACAACATGACCTATTATTAAATCAGGTCTAAGCATGGGAAAGATGTTAGTCTGCTAAAACATTGATTTACTTGGACTAAGCCATAATTTTAAATGACTTTAAGTTGTTGTTTTGGATAAATCCTTATATCACCTTTCTTCTGTACTTCACACAGGAACACTGCCCAATTTAGTGCTTTTGCAAATCAAGACCATATGAAAGATCTCCGAAGGTACCTGGTATTCAAATATATCCAGTATCTAGTCTTGCCTTCTACAAACATCATTGTCACTCTGCTGGGAATATTTGCCAGTCTATATGTCACACTGATATTGATGTCACCTTCTGTATCCAAAAAACCCACTGTGGTGTTCATTTGTAACATAGCTCAGGCAGATGTCTTAGTCGGATACAGAATCTTTTCTGTTATATTTCAACATGTGATAAAGAGTGAAATATTATCATCTTCATTTCAATCAACCTTGAGTCAGAATTTCCAGATTGCAAATGTACATGTCAGTTCCCTTTTACTCAGTTGCATCAGCCTTGAGGCTTTTCTCATCACTTTCTTTCCAGTAGAAACACGCCACATAAGGACTGTTGGATGTGCCAGGGTGGCTTCTAAGATCATCTGGATTGCTGTCATTATGGAATGCTTCCTTTATTAGCTGGAGTGTTTCAAGGACCTTAGCATTTCTACTCTTGGCAGTCGCAGACAAGTTTTGCTGTTGCTAAATATCTGTTATGAAGCCATAAAACTGCTGAAATCTCTTATTTACCCAATTGGACTACTTTTAAGAATTTCCAATGTGTATCTCTTTTATAAAATGTATTTCAGAATATTGCCTTGAAATATCCTGTGATGGTTAATTGTATGAATCAACTTGGCTAGGCTGTGGTGCCCAGTTTTTCAATGAAGCACTGATCTAGATATTGTTGTCAAGGTATTCTGTGGATCTGAATTAGTTGAATTTAAATAAAGAAGATTACTTTCAAGAATATGGATGGATGTCATCAAATCAGCTGATGGCCTTCAGAGCAAAAACTGGTTTCCCAGGGGAAGGAAGAATTCTGCCTCAAGATGGTAACAGAAATTTTGCTTGAATTTCTAGACTGCCGGAATGCCCTACAAATTTAAAAGTCAAAACTACAACATCAAGTATTGCTGGCCTGCCTTACATATTTTGTATTTTCTAGATCCCACACTCATGTGAACCAATTGTTTTAAATTAAAAAAATAAAAACGTATTGGTTTTATTTATTTGGAGAACCGTGAGTGATAATGATTTTGATAATGAGAATTACTCTAAAGGAACAGAATTTTAAGAATAAGCTTTTGAATTGGTTCTGGGATTTCTGGAGTTGGTTCTTTGGTATGATTAAGTTTAAGGCTATTACTTTGTTCTCAGTAGTAAAGAGGATACTGATAGTCCACATTGTAATGTGTCAAAAGATATATGCAAATATTACTATTAGGTAGTCTCAGTCAAATACTTATAGGAAAGGTTCTAAGTGAACATGTATTTTTATATCTTTGAACATAATTGTAAAACTTTTATACTGGACAAA